TCTGTTTCATAGTGATCGTCCCATAGTGCTCATTTCAATCTCTTGACAATCTTGATGGCCACGCGTTCACCGTCACCAGGGAGCCAACTATGTTTTCAGAACTGCAAGCGCAGAAGTTTACATTTCCCGATGCTCATCCTTACGGGACCTGATGATGACATGAACGTCTCAAAAACTAAATAAAGCATGAGTACGCAGCGTATTTTAGTATCTAGTGCTTAGATTCAATTAGGCGCAGTTTAGGGACCGTGAAATATGAAAAGGAACGCACCATCTGCTCGAATACATCCGAAGCTTCGGGATAGAAAACAGGAAAAATTAGACGTTTCCCTTATTCTTTGACCGCACGAATTGGGGAACGCTACAGTAAGGGCAACTTTGTCGTCGAAGTCTTGTGTGAAAACTTAGCGACTTGTAATGCAGAGTGCCGATGTGCCGATGTTTCGCGCCCAAGCCTGAGGATCGCAAAAAGGAACTGATCCAGATGATTTGATCATGGTGCATGTTTGGGCCTACTTTTTCAGCCCTGTGACTTGTTATGATGCAACTCAATTCGAATTCAAAGAAAAAAGGCTTGGCCACGGAATATTTTGTGCTGAAAAGTTCTCGGAATTGCATCGCGATACATCTAAAAGTCAGTTTCGTTAGTCACTGGGCAGTTCAACAGCCTAAGGGTCCACTGCACTTGAAAGCTCTTCTGTCACGACCATAAAATTCACCACTTTGCCTAGTTCTCCGAGGCAATGCACAATTGGAAGGATGTGAGGAGTGGCAGAGAGTGGTTACACGTATCGTTGCTTAGTATTCTTCAACACACGTACGCATTTCTCCGATTACCATCCAGGAAACCACTTGGTCCATAGACGAGGCAACGTCACGCCACCAAGCCCAGAGAAGGCGTTCAGTACCCTATTATGGTACTTAATCACCGCCAACAACACCAATCAACACTGTCAATAGAACTACTCAAGAGGTAAAGGGCCTAAATCGATCAATGCAAAAGCAAAAGCACAGATCAAAGGAATGTAAAAATCGAGCATAAGCAGGCTTATCGTACAATGGGATTATTTAACACCTCAGACATCCATTTATTCTCATCTAAATCTCGATTTTATGGTGATATCATAATATTTAAACGGCTACCCATCAGAAACACCTTATCATGGATGCAAATGTACAGCGACCGGCTTAAAAAGTAATCAATTGGGAAAAACCTTGAGATAATCCGTTTGAGCCAAAATTCAATATTCCCTCCTAACAACTAAAATGTTTACAATGATTAATTATAGACCCGATATTGAGAGCAAAGCATGGAGGTAGCTGTAGATACTAAGCCAGCAGGTATGGAGCGGAAAGAATTACTGCAGTACATGTCATATGCAATTACGCAGGGATAATCGTTGTGCCTCCGTAGTAAAAGAAAATTAAGTATCACTCGGGAAGCCAGCCGCTCCACAACACCTTCATATTGTGCAATTGTTAGCATACTCTACAGAGAAATTTATTGCTGCCTAATATAACAACGAAAAATGAGCAGGGCCAGTGTTCAGGAGCATACGTCATGAGACCTAACAAAGCAAAGCTTACCTGGTTCAATTCGACCTTCAATGGCGTTGAAGAAGGCGCTTTATCCTAACCTCATCGATAAGGCCGTTACCACGTCGCGAAGCCTATCTTTATCATCTCCTGGTACCGCGAGTCCAAATTGATGAGCCGCTCGTGGGGCTGTTTTGCGTGGATGAATTGACTAAAGAATCATTATTATAGAAAAGAGGCTTTCGCTATAGTAGCAGAACCTGACATTTAAGAGAGAAGTCTAGGTTGGAACTTTGATGCATTGCTTGGATAAAATTGATTGATTGTTTGTGACTTGAGCGAAACGCGAAAGCAACTATCCCGCGATGTTATGGACAGCTACTGATATACGTCGAACGATGGAAGCTACATAATGTCGGTCGTTCTTGACAAACGTCTAGACGCAGTCACACAAACATATACTAACCATAAATAGAAAAAGCGCAGATCACAGGTCAGCCGAAATAATAAAATCCCAGTCTCCTAATCAGAGCACAGGCCCAAAAATATATCACATCGAAACTGTGCTGTCCTACAATCCTCGTACTCGCTCTTGGGAACACTGATGTAATTATGGCCCTCATCACTGGGAAAACCCGTTTTCATTCTGCAGTAATGTCCAATATAATATTTGCAATCCTATAAATGCCCGGCAACCGATCTTCCCAAGCACTGGTTATTCGAGAACAATGAAGAAAATTTCAAATAAAAAAAAGTCTTTTTAAAAAACTAGTTTAAGAAATGTAAAAGAAATGAAGTACTGTAGCGCGACTGTCACGGTTACTATTCCGCACAGGTCCCGCCTTCGCACCTTTAATTGCCAACCGTTGAGTTAGAGCGCGCCAGGCGATATTTAGAGATTAATGGTTGCCCATCATTTCTGCCTATGATTTTCATGAAGCAATAGCTTCAAGAACGCGGATATGCCCAAGTTACAGCCCCTACACATTGGGAGACGGATCCAAAAGGCATTTATACGATACGCAAGCGCAGAGGAGAAATGAAAGTCGTTCAGTTTCGCTAACTAATAAGGCTCTCTAAGACTCTGCTGAGGAAACCTTAACGTCGCGAAAGACTCCTAACACCTCTTTCACCGAGCGAGGCGGCAAACCTCCTATAGTGCTCTCGCGGCTTCACAATGCTATTACTGAACTCACTCATTGGAACTACGCCATTGACAATTATTCATTTAAATATAACCTATACGTTGTGCGCTTTCAATTCTTAATAACTTTCTGCGACACGCGACGGAACGATTCACCGATTGGGCACAAGCTCACACACCCTACACTAAATAGGGGCCGTCCTTTTCCCTCCTCATGGGTGGAGTGGGAGTAGCGCTTGCACTGTGCGACTGTTTCATTGGTGACTATAGAGTTTTGGGTTCACTGAGGAATTTCCACAAACAACGAATAGAAGAGGAAAGTTTTTATTGACCTAGGGAGCCGGCTGGTATCGACAGACCTCTTACCGGTGCGTACATTTTGTTATTGACAGACAGGGCAAAATAGAAAAGTAGACTCGCTAATGAACAGACCAGAAGGAGGAAAAGAAGGACCAGACGGCTTCTCCGCATGGTCCGGAAGGTTGCTACTTACAGATAACTTAGACTGTACCAACCCCCTTCGGTAACAACCGTAACGACCACGACCACACCCTTATCCGAAATTCTACTCATCTTCAAAGGTCCCTCATAATTGTCCACCACCTGAATTTGATTCGGTCAAGAGTATTCGACCTAAAATTTTTCCCTAATGGAAGAAGCACTCCAAATTTTTTATAGTCGGCTCTTCCGATTTCCCCCGGCTAGAATAAATTCCCCTCTATGAATAGTAAGTATCACCATACAATCTCACATGAAACCGTCCCTGAAGGCGAGTTTGTTTCCACTTATAAATCCGAACGAAGTTTCAACAAAAATCCTTGACTAGACCAGGCAGCCTCCAATATGCGTGTTTGATTACTAAGGCCCCACCAACGTCAAGAACACTTACAGCGATCAATTCACATCAGGTGGCCGTCGTCACCTCCACGGGCTCTCCGATTCCATTAGAAATCCGACTGTGAGATACAGATACATTTCAGGGAGGCTGAGAGCTGCACGAGATCCATATGCAGCCAACGTTATCCTTTCGTGATGAATAGGACTGCGAACCTTCGCTAAGCACAAGCAGAGCTCAATAACATGTTCAATCATCATTTGAAGCAGTGAACGCTGTAGTATTCCACCAAGTATCGAAGATCCACTTGGATAAACTCGATGAGACATATTCACTGGGCAGTGATAGTGCCAGAGCTCCTGAGACGTCGAATGAACCACCCGGCGACAAACAGCCCACTGTTCAGATTTCTCGACAGCATCATAAGATCGGTCATCGCCCATCGATGCCGTCATATTATAGAGGTTCTAAAATGATGGGGTCATTGCACAAACGTTTATTGCACAATCGACGGTTAGAGGTAAAAATATAAGAGCTCACTCTCCACACTGTCAACACGATAACTTTGAGAACCTAGAGTGCAACTCTTGGTGAAATTCTTTTGACGTACATACCTTGTGGCCATCGATGTGTGAGCGCACCCACTGTCAGAAGTAAAACTTGTAGAACTGCCGTATCTCGTTTTTTATTAATGGCTTAACTAATTTTTTGTCATACATTCAACAGAGGGCGGAGCTAATGTGGTTGCAAGTGGCCGTCCTATCACACGCATGGTCCGGAAATCAAATTAGAATCGATACCGGCCCAGGCCTATCATCCTTTCATTTTTTTCAACCCTGAGTCGGTTCATTAGTAGAACGCATGCTTCGTAGGAGGGAACCACTGATTTCCTTCAATGAGTCTTGTAAGAGTGTGAATATGATCAATTGTGCTGAACCCTCTCCGGAACCTTGCTTGCTTGCATGGCTGTCCTTCATCTAATATTCTGCCATTCCTGTTTAGGATGAGGCGCGTGAAAAGCTTATAGATTACAAACAGCAGGTAGATTGGGCGATAGCTGCCGATATCGTCGGGATCTCCTTACACAGCAACTCAGCTTTGCTAATTTTCCGCGACGTGTTCACTTGCATTTCAAAGGGAAAAATCCTAGTCCCGTTCCGAAAAGTTCTGGAGATAAGTGGTGGAATACTCTCCAGATGTTCTGTTTCGTTCCTAATTGGACCGGGCGGCGTACGATTTTTCATTGACGTGGTGGCATGTCGAATTTGGGGGCAGGCATATCGACGTGGCTGTCGAAAAGATTCGAATACTAGCCTTGGACGACCTTCTCCATCGACCTTCGAGACGCAGTAACTCTTATTGTAGTGATTTCCATTAGTCCTCTAAAAATGGATAACTTAAAGTTAGCGTGAACTATGCCTTTGAGATGAATCGTTCGTCTATTCGCGGACGGAGCCGGTGAGGGAGGATAGCGCTGGGACTTGCCATGATTCGCTTCCAACAGATTTCATCTAAAAAAGTAAAACCAATAAAAATTGTTGAAGCCGCGTTCATATTTCTTCCCGCACAACTACTAGGAATTTGGCAAGCACGGCAAAGCATTGGTCCCATCGGTCCCCGCCCTCAGATTGATCCAAAATACAATGGAGTTGCCTGACGAGAGGGCCGAATTATGAAAGCAGCGCAAAAAAGTGTAAATGTGGCTCAGCCAAAGATCCTCGTCTTGTTCTTTGACGCATAGCTCCATTTGCATGGTGTTGAACTCCGAAAAAGCGAATCAATCGTCTCGAGACCTGCAGAGGGTTCTTATCGTGAAGAGCTCTACTCTACGAGAAAATAACGGAAATTAACTAAACGAAGAAAAAATTCCGAGAAATTAATGGAAATCAACTAATCGAAGAAAGAATACCATGAAAATTTAGTGACTGATGAGAGGATAATAAACAATAAATTAATAAATTCGGTAATACGGTTGTATTGGATGTAAATTGATGCAAATTTACTCTGCCAAATCAAGAATTTGCGGTAAACAAGGTTTGGAGTTATAGAACAGAGACTAGAGGGACGGGATCAAAGTCCACGCTCCCAGTCGATAGTCGATCGTACGTACCCCGTACCTTGCTCGACTCATGCATGGAGCGCAGGGGTTGCCAATATTCCACTACCAATGAGTGGTTAAAAAAGTGTTACTGAATCAAACGAAGCCACATATTGAGTAGAAAACCTTTCTCTTTCTTATTCGAATTTGAATAATGGAAAACGGAACGTTCTCGATTGTCAGCAGTGATGATCAACCAAATCGAACTTCAGCCGTGTGCCTTGTGTCGTAATTCTTCCTTCGCATAGGGACACGTGAGTGATCACTACAGCTGGTCACTCACTTGTCCTTATGCGAAGGAAGAGTCGATTTACAAAAGAAGGTATGAGGTCGTATCACCTATGAGTTAGCGGTTTGTTAATATTTCACATATACTTCTTTTCGAATTATCCCTATCCCAATTCCTATCATACTTTCTTAGTTGGATAAGTGCACGTAAAGGTATTTCGGAGAATTATTTGGGGGGCCGTAGAATCGTGAATCGTTTCCGACACAAATGCTCGATTTGCGTTCAAGCCAAGTTTGCTTCAGTTGACTATTCGTGATTTCAGCATTAGAATTCTTACTAAACTAAATCATTCCAGAAGGCTGGACACTTCTATTACCGCACATTACAATTCGCGAAGCAAAAGCTGGGCTCGCCCTACAATCAATCCGACTTCCAGCACCTCCAGAGCGATTTAAAACTCAGCCGGTTTTGAGCGGCTGAGTTTTAAATCGGGTGTGCGAATAATGGTCCAATCGCAACTAAGGTTCATCGCTCATCTAACAAGTAAGGTCTTTCAGGGCGTGGGACGCTTTTCGAAAATGGTTTTTTGCATTGTATAGGAGCATGAGCACTGAGTGTAGAACTATAGTCCATTTCCGCTAAATGGCCTTCTGAATGCCAAAAAAGGAGTGAAAATGATTTTTCAAAAACTGCCGATTTAACCCACTAAGCGTCGCTTGTTTCATTCGTGGCGACGTCTGTCCGCACAGTAGAAGGCCCAGTGGACTGCGTATTGAAAATAACGTGAAGGGTAGCCAAAAAAGGGGGCCACATGTTGAAACATGTTGAAGAGTGCGGGGAGGTTTCATATGCGCTCTCCACGGTTGAGCTGCTGGCAGCGACGAATGGTGTGGTTTATAGCGACGTGGACTTCGAGTTGGGACGGCTAGGCAGGGTTGATGGTTCGGATGCCCGGGGCTTTGCTGTTTTTGCATTTTATGCTGCCACCTCCAGATTGGTTCCATATTGCACCAGGGCCAAAGCAAGTGCCTGACTGGTCATGGTCGTGACCAGGATCACCCGTAACCTCTACAAGTTGTTAGAATTTGTTGTGTGTGCCCTATCAATGGAGGAGCTTCCAGGCTTCACACTCCCTGGAGTATAAAGGGATCTCTTCATTTCACGCTATATAAGTGTTGTAATGGGGATCAAACCCCTATAATATGGTTCCTGTTCGATGGGAGCTGCCCTCGACCTCGTTCGTCAATGCAAAGATAACAAGATTCTCATATTCATTGTAGCTCCCGATTCACTAGCATTGAACTGGGCGTCAATCGCGGATTTCTGTGGGAAAACGGATCAGATTCTCTTTGAACTCGTCTTCTTGCTGAAGGATCCATGAGCACTGAGCGATATAAGGAGCTGTCACTCCTGAAGGAAATCATTCAAGTGCCAGATTACCACTTTAATTACTAGATGACGGGTTTGGGCGATACCCGTTCCCAACATACGACCCCTAACTCCGCGTATTGCTATGAAGGGCTGGCAGGACACGGTCAAGAAGGACATTGCTGAAGTCGAGATACTGATCGTGAGGAGAGAAGGAAATGGAGATAACCAACCAGAACAGTGGACAAAAACCCTCCAACGGCACGAAATCGCTAGGCTAAGAAAAGGTGAAATCATCGAAATTAGATGCGCCTTCCATCAGTTTTAAGGGAAAGGGTTTTGAAAGAAGTTCTGAAGGCTTCCGGCCGAAATAAAACAACAGTCAAGCCATTACTATCCAAATCATTCAAGGAACTGTATGGACTGTGCAATGTTCACACAATGCTCGAAGACCGTATAATTGATATAGAATTTTTTGGCTACCGAAATGATATCATACCAATTTACCACTTCACCACTTACACACCTACCATTTACATTTTACCAATTGAACTATCTATCGATGTGAGGGATGTAAAAACAACTGAACTGATAAAAAAACTACGTGAGGAAGTTGAGGTGGGGGAGCGGGGAAGGGGGAGCTCATGGTAGTGTGAAGCCTGGAAGCACTGATAGTGCTTCACACATCAAATCCTAATGACTTGTAA